CGTAAATTTCTAGAATCTCTGAAAATAACTGACGAAGACTTTTTTTTGAATTATTTTTTGAAATAAAACTGAAAAAGTTTGCGATTCAGATTTGGTAAACGCACTTTTTACATCATAATATACAATTCATTAGTTATATAATTTTACATTTGTTGACAAAAATTCGATTCATAAGTACAAATTTAGAAGGAGCTATTCGAAGATACGAATAATAAAATATTACCTAAACGGCATGGTGCTGTATTAGCTTTATCTGCAGTGATTCGAGCTCATCCTTTTACAATTCCACCAATAGTTTTTAATATGATACCAAGGTACTGTCAGCTTGGTACCAGAGCTGATTCGCTAACTCGAGTGAGTATTGCATTTATATAAATTTACATCATTTATCATGAAAAAAGATAGTTATCATAGAAAAAGATAGTTGTAATAATTCCAACGCTTAAGTCTCAAAACCATCTCTATGTAGAATAAATAATACTTGTGATAAATGATTTTTCCCTTACAAATCTATTAAATGAAATGTGACAATTAAAGTGCTGATTAGAATTGAAACAAATGAGCAAAACTCCATAGCTAAACGATGTAATGAGTGAATCTTGTTGCAGTAATAGTCAGTGAATGCAAAATGAAATATTTACAGATGACAGTAACAGAAACATTACGATCATTTTTGCGCACACACCACGATGAAATGGTAGAAAGTGGTGAAAAGTATGTAATTGAAAAACTACTCCTTCCCATACAGAATTTTATCTCACCAAATTACTATGTATAATTTACAAAATCTTCACTATTTATCAGGAAAAATAATCGCATAATGTGGCACCTTATGTCCAAAGCAAACTTTTTCCCTTCCAAACATGTATCGAAATGCTTATTGTGGCTGATAATTTTTGTAAAATAGAAATCAACAAAAGGCAGTGCAAAAGTGAAATCTTTATCTCGATCATTTGACAAGAAATCACATATTTATACTATTTTTGATAGTTAACTTCCTAAAAGTATTGCGTTTTTTGAAGTATTGTTGGTGCGGTGTTGAAACAAAACTGAAGTAATAATACATAATCTATTACATAGATCACTCATTTACTTAATATTAAGTCGCAGTGAGCTTCACAGTTCGTAAATGTATTCAAAAAAGATATAAATTGTCATTCAAAGACAGCACTCTGTTTAGCTAAATCACAAAATACAAAAGAGAGATGTGAAATACACAATTTGAAACAGAAAGAATATTCAAAATGAGTCTAGAAATGAATTAAAATATAATATATATGATATTGTGAAGTGCCAAAAGGGAAAACAATTAGAAGGAATATTTCAAAAAATAATGTATTTACAGCGTGATAACTTCCATCATTTACTCTCAGTGAAAAATCATGCTCATGAAAAGTATTACACCTTGGATGACGTATCATCAAATATCATATAACTTCCCTTTCAAGAGAGTAAAGTTAATTAGTTATGTAGTCAATTAGTCAGGATTAGAGTTCACGTAAGTGTTAATTAAAGTTGGTTCGTTGACCGTCACTTCATTGCTATACATAAATAGACCTGAATGTAGCCTGTTGTATTTATTGCTGCTTGGATTGGAACTTTCTTTCATTATTTTAGAACTATTTGCAAGACTTATTCGAAATATTCTTTCCATACAGCAATTCCTTACCTAACGTCAAACATGTGATTTATCGTTCTGTACCTGTATGTTCCTATATTTCCAAGTAAGCATGTGAGCAAGCTAACTCAAACATCCCAATTCGATGTCAATTCAGCTGCCCTTTCACCATGTTTTTTTCCTTTTCATCATACTTTCACTAAATAAGCGATGTATACTGTTCAAAAATGACCTTCTGTAGTGTCACGCAAGTAAATTGTCTGTTATAGTAATGCAGTTGTTACTAGTTTTTATTTTGTTACTAGTTTTTATTTCCTGCTAACTTTAAGTATTCACAATGATAAATGCATACAAATCAAACAATTAACAGGGAGATTTGACTTTTTATTTACAATATTTTTTTGTTTAATTTTTTGTTTTTTCCTTATTAAACCATCAAGCTTAATTTCGACTTCTGACAGATGCGATTTGCCTCGTTCAACAATTTATCAATCGGCTTTAACATGTCTGCTTTGGTTTTGCTGAGAATGATGCAACACGTAAGTGCATCATTGTATAAGAAACACGGATGCAATAGCTTGTAATGATAGATTTGACAGAGAGTCAAGAGATCTGAAATTTTCAGTTTACTTTGACAACTAATTACTCATTTAACTTGTTAAGCAATAAATACAAAGTTTGTTTTTCTAAAACAACGAACACGTACTAGTTAGTTTAGCTTTGATTATTTATGCTACACTGTGAAAATATTTGTACAAAAATACCTGGGTCACTCACATCAAAACATTTTCCCAATTGAATAGTATCTGAAAATGTGCAAAAAATTAACAAAATATTCTCGCCTTTTCAAGGAAAGGAATTTAGAGATTACAATGCGTTGAAGCAAAAGAAAATTTGTTAGAATAGCAAAAATTTTCGTACAATTTTATAGCATAGGAATAAAAATGCACAAAAGCATTCATATTCACACAAATTGCTGAAAAAAAAAAAAACTTATTATTATATATAAATATGTTTCAATAAAGTACTCTATTTCCTTTCAATGCATTGAATAGTTGAACAATCGAGAAAGTCAAAGCTAACCAGAACAATTTATAGTAAGAGCGCAATGACACGATGGTCGATTACATCTTTGACGGAATTCGCTGGCGTACTAAAATGATTAGCATAAGTTAATTACAAAAAGTTTTAGCGTTTGCTCTTTGAAAGTAATATTCACCAAAATTGAATACTAAACTATTAATAGACAAAAATGAAGTTGTCATACTTGCCAAAGCCAACTTTTTACAAAATTTATTACTGAAAAAGAGAAAGAAAATCGCAATATTTTGAATAATATTTTGAGAATTTTTCACCGTCATCAAATCATCGTCATGATCACTATATTTCTCATGTTGTTTGCCTTCAAAACCCATCTTTTGCTTTCGGAAATATGATTCCACAGTCATACTTAATGCATCATTTAAAATATTCACGACTTCCTCGAAGTCATTGCATGCTATTTTGCGAGGACGATGAAATAGTAAATAATTTTGATAATTATTGAAGAATGAAAGCCGACAGAAGCAAATGACTGAGTCCAAAACCATTGTGTTGTTGGGGTCACTTTGCAACACACAACGAGATCTTGGGCTGTTTGTTCTAAAAAAAAGTAGAAAAATGACGAGGAAAATTTTATTTTAAATTTTACAAGAAAGTGTTAACTCACCAAAATTGTCGTAGGCTTTAACTTTATGCAAAATAACTAGTTTTTACCAAACATTTTCTCATTAAGCATACTTTTCATTTATAATTTAATTGTGCAAAGCTGTTCATTTCAAGAATAAAGCAAGTCTGCAATTAATCTTTTTTACGTCTAACTTACAATGAGCGCATGTTAAAAGCGTATGCATCTCCCATGAAATCACTACTTTCTAATAAGGAATTATACGCTGGTCCACCCGTGATTGTAATCACTTAAAAGGAAAAAGAATGAAATGGAGAATATGTCTTTCAAATAGATTAATTATTTTAATCGAAACTGTATTTTCTTGCTTTCTTTTCGACAGTTGAACAACCTCTTACATTCTAATTGAATAAATAATGATTGTTTATACACAATTTTTTTCACTGTAACATCAAGTTTTGTAAAAATTAAGAAATAAGTACCGTCTCCTATATTGGTTTCATTCCATTTTAAAGTAGAAATTTGTTGACGGGTCAGAGAAATTTCCACTTTTGTATAGCAAACAAATGTATAACCATAGTTAGGTTTAATGGTTGCTATAGTGGGTATTGAGTTGTACTGAACCTTAAAAGTGAAGCAAGAGGGCCAGTAAAATTCATCCGTATTCTACAAGAAATTTTGCTATTAATATTTACAATCTCGTCGCACATTATTTACCATTTAATTACCATAATTAATGAGGTGAACTAATATTTACAGATAAAAGTATTGATTAACAATTTGATTAAACATCTATTTTCAACGAAAAACGTCGCATTACTTTTCCAATTTTCTACAATTTTTTTTTCAAACATTTACATTTTCTGTTCCATTTTGAACAAATATTATTTTTATTAATTTTTCAGACCATACAAATACCTAAAATAAATCATATAAATAAGCTTACATTAGGGAGTGGAAAATTAAAGTATTTATCTTCTGGACAAAAATAATAATCACATTTACAAACGTAAAAAACCATAGGAAGATATGAGTTGAATTTAGATGCCTTCACTGTATTTGGAAAAAGCTGAAGCATTTATCACTATGTTAGTTACAGAGCATTAAATGTTTGCAGACAAAATAAAATGTGAAAGTATTAGACTTTCTATCAGGAAGCAGTACTCAAAACAATCAGTCAGTCTATTTACTAGTGTTGTACTGCTTTCTTTAACACTTTTAATTGCGATTGCTATTTTTTTTCCGATCATAAAAAAGTAATAATGCAGACCAAAAATTTGCTTTCAATAAAAATTTCATTTCAAATTAGAGCAATTTTCATTTAAAAAAAATTATACAAAATAAACAAACAAGTGCTTCCACGTATCGGCATGGTTTTTCGAATAACCGGGGACGATTATAATAGTTTAAAACTATTGCATTTACTCCTGCAATGTTTCAGAGATTAATAATCAAGCATGATCAAGTTTTGCCGAAATATGCTATTTTAAAGTGAACATTTCTAACATTAATGATACAGTGTGCGAAATCGGTTACATCATGCATTAACATATTTTTAGGTGTACATTTTAGTCTTATTTTATTTTTTGACAGACTATGAACGCTTACGAGGTATAATTCGAACAAAAATTTTCCATTCGGTACTAAACACCTTCACAAAAATTTCTGGTGCACTTCTAAAAAATCCACGAATTGTAAAGTTCGAATCACATTGAATTGAAGTTTTATATTCCATATCCATAATAGTTAAACTATTCGCCGTTTTGTTGAAAATTACATCAATTACATTCTGAAAAACAAAACATATAAAATCTTAAAAAAATATAGAAAGTTTTACGAAATTATATATTGAGAAGTTACCTAGTATTAAACACAGTATCGTAAAAAGCTGGGATTTTATATTTCAGTAATATTATGCATAAGTTCAAGAAAACGGGATTTGTAAGCTTTCTAATCACATCATTAGAATACCGCATTGAACAATGATAAAAGAATACCGCAATTTGACAAAAATTATTTTTACATATACTCGTAACTTTGATATCTTTGCAGTTCAGTGAACTGTCATGTGGCTCGACAATTTTCCCGCCTGAATATGAAAAAAAATGACGAACTTAGAATATGTGAAAAAATATATGTCATAAGTTTCATGATATTGCAGATATTTTAACAAACATTTTAGAATTGTCTTAACTATTATTAGTTTATTTGAAAACGAAAAACATTTCCATTCCCAAATTTGTTTGAAAATCAAACACTTGAATGATTACATTTGCTATACTGGTACTCATAATTACTTTATAAGTTAAATAATAACTGCTTTAACTGAAATAATTTTAGAGTTTTTAGTAGAGTTCACAATATTCTTCTTCCAGCTTTTATTAGCTTCTTCCAATCATTATGGAAAAGATAAGTAAATCACGGAAGAAACTTAAGTTTGATCAAATACTTTGATTAAGAAATTATCGTAATTACCAAATTTTGCAAAGAAATAAGTTTCATTAATGATCTCCAGTACTTTCAAAAAGAAATATTCATCTTTGCTTAAATTTATTTTCATTTTGGCCAAAGATGCATAAGCGCCCAAATATATTGTATGTGTAACTTCATCGTTTTCATTATTTGCAGCTTTCAACAATATTTCCGTGGAACAAAACTACAAGTAAACACAAATTCATTTCTTTTTTCAATGCCTATTATTAAGAATAAGAATGAAAAAGATAATATTTATAAAAAGACTCACTCGTCCATATCTTCTAAATGACTGCGTATTACTTGAAATTGCAATATATTTGTTACTCCCGTAATTGTCAGACTCACCATGAGCACAATGAACTTCATATTTTCTCTTGTAAGAAATAAGCACATCTGCAAAATGTTAATAAGCATATCTGCAAAATGTTCTCTAAAATACTGAACAGAATATGAAGCAATGCCAACAAGTACATGTACTGTTGATAAACAATAACTTTAATTAAAAATTGAGTTAATTCATTTGGATCGTATAGTATGATGACAGAACGAATAACTTCTGCTTTTAGAGTAGTTGCAATTGTGGATCATTGTTAGATTTTGAAAATATAACGAGATTCAGTGCAATAGTAATAATAAAAGTAATGAAAACATCGCTAGTGCATAAAATTATAATACCTTGACAATGTTTATATGAGTGGAGGTAAAAACAAAAAGATCGGTATATTGCGAAGGAATCGACTGGATACAAGTTGACACAAAAACAGTGCTCTTTTCCAACATTATTATAAACGATATCAACAGTCTACAAGCAAAAGATTTAACGAAAAATTGATGACATTCAGTGACAATGCTTTACTTCCACTTAATGCCTTTCTTAAAAAATTATTTAATTCTTTTTAAAAGTAAAGAATAACTTTAATTAAAAATTAAAGTTATTCTTTACTTTTAAAAAGATAAAAAAAATAATAATAAATAAAATTTGCATACTTTATCCACAAGGTGTTTATCGTGCGGAAACATAATCCGTAAACTCTAAATAAACAAATCATTTCAAAAAAAAGTGAAAGTACTGCTGAAACAGTTGTCTTCAATTATCCATATGCTAAAAAATCAACACTAATGTTTACTACACTTTTTCGTAATAATTTAGCTTATTTTTGCATCAATGAGCAATACTGTCTGTACTGTTTATGAAATTACTTTCGCATACTTCAAGGTAACATATTAATTAACTCAATGTATTGAGATTGATTATTGGGAATTCATACGGATTTTTTTAAACACTTGCAAACAATTTCATATATAAGAAATTCTAAAGCATTCATAAATGACAAGAACTATTTCTAATTATTTAATACAATAATTGTCAGCCATTAATATTATCTATCCATACTCGCTAACGATTATTTTTATCATTTAAAAGGAAATTATTGAAAGGAGACTAAAGCAATTAAAAGAAAGAAGTAAACTTCAGCAAAAAGAGCGAATCCATCTTTAACCAAGCCATTTCTTTCCATAATGTGCCAACCCTCATTTTTCCTCTTCACATATACAATTTGTGCGCAAATGCCTCGATCCATAAATGATTCTACCTACAGTCTTATTTCAAACGTCATCAGTAAATAATGAGTTATACATTTTTATAGCTTGAAAATCAAAATTCAACCAACCGGACTGCTGTCTTTACTATGTGGACATCCCCATTGTTTTGATTCAATTCTAAACATGCGTGCAGTAGCTTTTTCAATAGAGAACACGTCTTGTAAAATTGATATTCCAGAACCGTGTATCACTTCAATATGGTGATTTATATGTGATGCCATAAGTGTAAAATAGGCGCTCCGAAGGATGAGAAATATATATTCCGTTAAATTAGAAACTTCACGCAACATTGCGCACTGAGCACAACACATGTACAATATCCTTGCCGATTTCTGAAAAATTTTGTTTATTAATGAATGAAACAATAATTACTGTTTGTGATTCATTCAAAAATAGCATTATGAATAGTGCAAACTTACTAAAAATTTTTAGAAATACTCAAAAATTACAATAATTATAAGCAAGTTTTACTCTTGCACATTAGATTCACTATGACTTCAAACCGTTTTCCGAAAGCATACTTTACAAGATGTTATCAAAAGAACATTTTTAAAAACAGCGAAAAAAATATTTAAAGATCACACAAAACTTTTTGGACTGTAAAGTCATACATTAATTGTTAAAATGAAAGCGAACTTACTGCAACTTTGCGGTATTTACTGCCAACCTTATCGTAGACAGGAACATTATTAAAATATACAAACCCAAAACGAGTATCTTGAGCTTTTTCGCTGAACATATAGTTACACTCACATGAACCAAAATATCTCAAATCTCTTCCAGTACCATATAAAAGAGTTTGCATGGTTAGATTTGTCAGATTTTCTGAGCGAAATTTCGCTAATTTGATGTCTGTATCAAAAATATTATCAGGTAGAGAAGATCTTCTCACTCCATCATAAGTAGCAATGGCATAAAGACAATAGTCACTTGCAGAACTAAAAAAAACACCTTAAGTATTTTTTCTGAAGCTTTCAAAGATGCAAACTGAACTGAAAGTTTGATGAATTTACAAGAAATGAGTATAACTTTTAAGAACTTTCAGTTTGACTGAATTTCTTAAATTTAAGACTAAAAATTTTGCAAATAATGTGTGTTGATATCAAATCATCGCTGCGAAAAAATAGTCATCTACACACACTATGTTTATAAGCATTCATTATTTGTTTTTTAAGCACCTTTCATGGTACTTCAATTTGATGCTTTTGTATTATCTTTACAAGTTATGATTTCTATAAATGAGAATACTCACTAATTAATTTTCTCTGATACACGGCACTGGGAATTTTTTATGTTGTTTTGCAAAGAATAGATTGATGGCGCTATTATTGTTATAACTGCTGTAAGTAAGTCGTAAATTGTTTGAAAATCAAATAATGCTATTTTTTTGAATAAAAGTAAGATTTTTTCTCACAAAATGTCAAAAGTATCATAGTATCTTCATTATTAAAGTTTCTGTTTGCAAGAAAAATTAATAGATCACAATGCTTTGATAATAAAAATGCCACACATTTAAGTAATAATATATAAACTATACTATTGCAGTTTTCTGTTGACGCGGTAATTAATTAATGTCTAAGATTTAAAATCCAAAAGTATTGTCAATTATTAAAATCATAAACTGAAAAATACTGTACATAAAACAAATGGGAGATTATGCACGACCGACCGCACCATTGCGTTCGAAAACGGAAAGTAATTAGCAGCGCAACATTTTTATTCTTAAACTGTAAGGAATTCATTTTTAGTACCAAAGTAAATTATTGATTACTTACCTTTTTCATAGTTTTTTTAGCACGTCTTCGATGGTTTTATTTTTAGAAACGCAGTCAACACATCCCAAATAATCGCAACTTCTGGCATCTATAAAACAACCAAATGGATCTGACTGCTTGACATCAAAATTCTGTGCTTATTATGACTTTACGCATGCTTGTCACATCTTTCCTACAATAAACGAAGCAAACGCAGAAAACAAAAGACAATAATACCTCTCCTCTCCACATTAATCTATTTATTTATTTTCGTGACATCCTTTCTCTTTCTAATAAAATTAGTAATTTCATCGCAATCCATTCCATTCCGTTTCCAATTCATTACATTCCGTTCCATTCCATTCTGTTCCAATCCAATCCATTCCATTTCCAATCCCTTCCATTACATTCCATTCCGTTCCACTCCAATCCATTCCATTACATTCCACTTTATTTCATTCAATTTCCAATCCCTTCCATTACATTCCATTTTGTTCCGTTTCCAGTCCCTTCCATTACATTCCATTCCGTTCCATTCCATTCTGTTCCAATCCATTCCATTACATTCCATTCCATTACATTCCATCCCGTTCCGTTTCCAATCTCTTCCATTATATTCCATTCCGTTCCATTCCATTCTGTTCCAGTCCCTTCCATTATATTCCATTCTGTTCCAGTCTCTTCCATTACATTCCATTCCGTTCCGTTTCCAATCCCTTCCATTACATTCCACTCCATTTCCAACTCATTCCATTCTGTTCCAATCCATTCCATTCCATTACATTCCATTCCATTTCCAATCCCTTCCACTATATTCCATTCCGTTTCGTTTCCAATCCCTTCCATTACATTCTGTTCCGTTCCATTCCATTCTGTTCCAATCCCTTCCATTATATTCCATTCTGTTCCAATCCATTCCATTACATTCCATTCCGTTCCGTTTCCAATTCCTTCCATTACATTCCATTCTGTTTCCAACTCATTCCATTCCGTTCCACTCCATTCTGTTCCAATCCATTCCATTACATTCCATTCCATTCCATTGCATTCCATTCCATTACATTCCACTCCACTCCATTTCCAATCCCTTCCATTACATTCCATTCCGTTCCGTTTCCAATCCTTTCCATCACATTCCGTTCCGTTCCATTCCATTCTGTTCCAATCCCTTCCATTACATTCCATCTCGTTCCATTCCATTATGTTCCAATCCATTCTTCACTGCTCACCTTTACGCCCTCTCTTTTTATAGGTCTGCCTGTGCATATTTCTCTCTTCTCTCTAGCTCAACCATATTGTTTTTCACCTATTATTAACAAATGGATTACTTTACTATCCTTCTACTCACTTATTTCGCACTGCATTGGTTTTTTAGCTGTTCTACTGAGAATTTTCTCGACTTTGGTACTCTTTTTCTTATCCTTTATTTGTTAAAAAGCGGTCGGTCAGACGTGGGAAAATCATAGCGTGAACCAGATTTTGGCGTATATATTATAAAGTATACATATTTATTACTTATAATTACGAAAACCTGAATACTTTCTAGACTGATCTCATTTGTATCATCGCTAAATAAGTGTTGGAAGGATTTCGCTTTGAATTCAATCTGCTTTTCACGACTTTAATTCCTTTCATTCATATATGTTATGAACAGTTTCGTGTGCAGTTATTGTTCACGTTTCAGCATATCTTAATGATAATTCGGTGAGACGATTCGGTTTAGCACTCTTTAGAAGAAACTGTTATCCATGTATGCTCTGTTTTAAAATTATTTGAAGTGAACGCAAGCAAAGTCACTCAGCGTTCTTCGATTACAACTTTCAAGAATATAAGATGGAAACAATCAGTGTGGGAAAGTTGCCGTCAAGTACGTTCTTTCTTGACATTTAATCAAATTGCAATATGTGCATCGCATTGTTCAAAAAATGCAGGCTTATACTACAGTTATATATATATAT